CCAAAATACCAGACATTTCAGTCTTAGCATTGTTGGCTCCAACTGCTCAAATGACCTCAAATAAATAAGTGGTACAGTAAAGGAGAGGTGTTTTCTTGCATAACCATCTAATATTTTAATAGACCAAAGGCTAGCAGGATTTTGTGTGAGCACGAATAAAAGCTGGTTTGAATAACTGCAACTACTGCCTCCAAACTGGGATAATACCTCATTGCCATTTTCAGTCACACTTTAAAAGTCTTCAATGAATTGTTTTGGAAACCAGTGATTATCACATGTATCTATTCTATACCGTTTATAAGAAATAGGTATAAAACTTACTAAAATATCTTAAAATGTTTTTCAAGAAGGCTGTTGAAACTAACTCTGATGTTCAAAACAAATGCCATGTACAAAAATAATAAAAAGTCATGCCCATGAGTACCTTCATGGAGAGCCGAACTTTATGAAAGGAAGCCAATATTTTTTAGTTTGGTGAAGAGAGTGGTGTCAGCAGATACAGCCAGAGAACAGACAGCAAAGCAAATGGTTGCAAAATCACGTAGAGACAGGTGGCTTTGGGAAAAGCAAATTGCTTGTTAGGAAAAGGCTTCTAACAGTGAGCACAGAAATCACCTCACTGATGCCAGCTGTGCTCTAGGAAAACTGAATTTCCTCCACATTTTTTTTGCAATTAAAAAGGTTAGCACTAAAAACAAAGAGAAAACCCTACATAAATATTATTCATCACCAATTTCTGTTCTTAGCAGAAAGAATCCTCCTGCCTGGAATTTACTGAGGCAAGTGGGAACAGTATTTCTTCCTCCAGTAACTAGACATCCCAAGAAGGTGAAACACTCTCTGAAATACGGCCCAAGCCACAGCTCTTCTGGCAGCAGTGAGTAACAACTTTGCTGGTGGAGCTCGTAGTCCAAATACAGTCAAAATCCAAGCTCTTTTGTAGTATCTTACAAAGAACGGGGAAGAATTCCTAAAAGAGTCGTGAGAGTAATCCCAACTGCTGTAACTCAGATCATTTAACAGCCAGCTATGATAATCTCCTCAGTAAATTAATATGGTTTGTCAAGCCAAACAAACTACAAAATAAGAAAGCTGTGACTGTGCCATGAAGATTTGCTAATCATGAACATCCATTTCAAAAACATTCTGAAACTCAGCCGAAACCAGCTTATTATCTCCTTTATTGGTGCTTTCAGAAGAGGAAAAAATTGGCCCATCAGCAACCCAGAATAGTGCCAATGAGAAGCAACTGATATTTGATGAATCTTTAGAGAAAGACAGTGAAATTAATTCATCATAGATCTATTTACTCTAAGGCAACTGCAGAACAAAGACTAGCCTAAAAGGTTTCATGTCCAGAAGTAATGAATACTGCTGGCAGGTCTAAAGGAATGCTACCAGCACAAAGCCCTGCTCTCCTTTGTCAGCAAACTGTGCCACACTGGAGTACAATACATGGGCAGTACATGTTAAAGTCTGGAGAAGAAATATGACTTTATAAGGTATTTACTGATATAAAACTAAACCATTATATAGTAACTCTTATTCTGTGATTCTGTGAGTGATTATGACTGTATAATTAGGCTGTCTGCCTAACAGTACCTCACTACGAGTTTACAGCTCAAAAGCTCTGTTGTACTGCTTTCCTCAGGAATAACTTCTGCTAAAGTTCACTGAGAACTTCAATAAGCAATTCACAGTTTTAATAAGGAAAGTATTACTGGCATTACATTAATATTTTACAATCATTTACATAAAGCATAAGAGCTATTACAGGACAAAATATATACAGAAGTGCATCACAAAAAGAGAGAAAGACCTACAGCTGAAGTCCAACATAAATAAACATAATCAATTTCCCAAGCTGACAGTGCATTGTAAATTATTTACAACATATAAATAGGTGTAACACTACTCCAGGTCCATTGAAAAAAACCAAAATGGCATCAGAGAAGAAAAATGGCACAGCATAGCTTTCTATTACCCATACTACAACTGAATGAATGAAATGCAAGAGGAGATGTGCCAAGTTACTTGATACTTGCTAGTCAGCTTAATCAGATACTCTCAATTTCCTGCAGGATGGATAACAAACGCTGTTCTGCTGCTTACTGCACACCACGTCTACTGAAATATTTTCTGAGGCAGAATGATCCCTAAAGCCATCTAATAACACAAGGAGTCTGGAACCACACAACCCGACATAATGTAAGAGAAGTAGGTTTAAATAAAAATAATTAATTAAAAGATCTTGTACATGGGTAACTGGATAGTAAATTATAAGGTTATGATGACAGATACCCAAGTTTCTGACTATCCTTTGTTGTAACCCTACCATGTAAAAACCCAAAAGCTGACCTCGTGCTCCTCACTGCTGTCTGCCCTTATTTTAAAAAACATCCTAAAACTTCAGAAGAGTTTAAAAAGCAACACACTTAAAATTTTTAAAAACTATTTGTCTGAAGTGTTCTCTCAATATCAGAAAGCCATTTTATATTCAACAAAATGAAATAATTAAGACTAGAATTCATCTTTTAATGACATGCATTTGTGTGAAGAAAGGTTAATAAAGGATGAGCAAGATTATTGCCATGAATAACAAGGATTTAATTTTAGAAATTCTGCAGTGCTTGAATGTTATTGAAAATACTTTTAACCCTTTCATTGTTCAGGAAGATATATGTATGAGGTATTACTTACTTGCACAGCAAGCTGAATGAAAATCTTATACCTTATTATCATCAATAACATGATATTAATTTTCTGCCTAACTATATTCATTTTCCTGCCTAACTTTATTCATATATTAGCACTGATATGCATTTTATTAATCATCATCTCAGTCGCTTCATCTACCTAAATTTTTCATCCATTAGAGATGCATATTTCTAGGGAAAACTAAAAAGATTTTCTCTTTAGTTTTACTTCTTTAATGAGGACACACAGAAGAAAATAACAGGGATGGTGAGGAATGTGAGAACCAAGAGACCATGAAAGCCAAGCCACCTCCCTTCCAGGTTTACCTCTAACTGAAATTCTTTAGCCCCTGCCCAAGTCACACTGACAATGAGGAAAAACCAGCTAGCCATTTTTCTCTCCTTTCAAAAAGCTGAGGAGATAAAATATAGGAAAAAATATATAGCACAAAAAAAACCCGCCAAACAAAACAACCATTGTGACTTTCCTTGCAATAGCTGATAGTTAGGGCTTTGCTAATTCCCCATTTCATTGCCTTCATTAATAAAATGTTTTCAAAAGAAGAAGAAAAAAAGACATTAGTATTCAGGCCTAAATAAAGCCAAGAAAAAAGCTTTATGTTTTTTAACCTCAACATGACCTCTCAGACCACTTCTGAAGCCACTCAGAAATTCTTAGAAATCAATACTTTGAATCAAGAATTTTACCTCAAAGTAATATGAATTTTAAATAATTGACCCTTCTGCAATTTCCATCTCCTCTCTGTTCCATTTTTGGCACTGATTTTCTCACTGTTTCAAAATAAAGTCGGCTCAAAAGATGCATTTCTTAGCATGACTTAGCTTCTTATTCATAAAGGAAAATTGCTCCACATTTTTTGTCATTGCCCTGATTTCCTACCTTTCTATAGTCTCGTGTTTCCCTCAAATTCCCATAAATTGGAAAAAAAACTTGTAAAAAAAGGAAAAATTCATAATTTTTTTAAAGGAAAATTTTCTCACTAAAAATCTCTCAAAATATTTTAGTAAAGACATTTATGGGTGGTACCTACTATCTCCTGTTACGCTTCTAAAGACAATCTGGATCATGCTGGAAAGTTCCTAATAAAAGAAGAGCACTCTTTGTGTAAAGTAATTTTGTCCAGTCAATTTTCCTTCAATAGCAGCCAATGTATTTTTAAAATAGTGATTTGTTTAACTTTGCAGAATTACACAAGCATAAAAATTTGCACTTACAGTATCTAATATATCAGAAAAAATTAGAGAACCTAAATGTTCTAAATTGCTAGATAAATTCTTTCTGTAGTCATGCTCCTCTCACAAAGATCACTTTGTTTTGTGTCTGGGTGCCTCCAACTCTTCTCTTCTTCCTTCCCCCTGGCCTCCTGCTACTCACAGTCCCTCTGTGCTATGCCCAGGATCCAAGCAAAGGGGAAGTCCAAGGGCCAGGTGTGGTTTTTTACTAGGCAAGCTGGAGCCAGACCTCTTGCAACAGAAAATACCCAACCTGAAGACATGGGAATACAGTTGCTGCCCTCGTCATCACAGGAACACGCTGTACAGAAGCCACAGTCCCATGACTCAGAGCACATCTCAACCAAGAAGCTCTGAGATGATCCTCTCTCTCCACTGAGCCCAGGGAACTTGAAACTACATTCCTAACTGCTTCTTGACATTTCCTTGTCCCCATGCAAACTGAAGTCCATCCAATCCAATTGTGCCCTACTCTCTTTCACTGTCCTTTTGATTTTTCATGCAGTCTCTGCTTTTCACCCCACCCTGTGTCAGAACAGGATTTTACCTACTTTCTCCTCTACACTGAGTGCCCACTATTCTGTTGCTGCTCAAAGGCAAAATGTGAATACCAGAAAAATTTTTAAAAATTCAAGGAAATGGTGATACTTTCTCTCTTTTCAATCTTGCCAGCAGTAGTGAGAGAGAGGACAGACAACTTCACTGGGGGGAGATTAGTATAATACTTCCTGTCATACCATGAAAGTTATATGTTTCCTTTGTTTTATAAATATTAATGTATTAACAGTAGAACTGTCAGTATTAGAATCATGATTTGAGAAAGTGCTATTCACAATTAACTTACTACTACAAAGTACATAGTACTATGTACTTTCATATTCCAGAAGGAAAGCACACCAAAGCCAAAATCCTTCCCATAGAAAAAAAACCTGAAAAAGTCTAAAAACATACCGCTTTTTGTGGCATTCTTTGGATACATGTTCAGTGATTCAGTTAATTAGTAGCATTGAGTCTATCTTTTAAAAGCTAAGCATGAAAGTAGTATCTTACCTTGTATCTCTAATGAGAGGTGCACTTCCCAGTTTAAAACAGATCTTTTCCCCACCACAAGATGTTTGCCTTAATGAAAAGCTTTCTGCCAGATCAAACCCTGTCAAATAGAACACAATGCAATACAATTATAATGGAATTTAAAAACCATCTGTAAATAATAATTTTTTAGCATACTTGAATACAAGCACATTAGCACTTCTAGAATATAGATTGACAAACTGTTTTGAAAAGTAGAACTTGAAGTCAGAGAAACTTTCAATATTCATTTTATTAGACCTATTCATGCAAAATTCACTTGGTAGATGACTTTAAAACCTGAAAAATGAATTTGCTAGTTCTTTTATCATCTGAATTAATAAGAATGCATGATGATTGGAAAAAACCATGGAAATTAGTGTGGCTGCCGAAGAACCAATATTTTTGAGGAAAAACATGCTCTGGGATGCTGCCACCTTCCTGGGAGCAGCATCAGCTTTTGGTGCTTGCATTCTGTCCTAACATTTCAATTTTAAAGCCAGCTTCAGTCAGGCTATAATTACATTCAGCAATCATTACCAGTTAATTAATACAGATGTCCATATTAGCTTGTCATTTACCTGATACACCATGACTGTCTCTGTTGATTTGTTTGAGATGACGGGCAACTGTTTTCATTAAAGGACACACAGCACCTTCAAGAGAGCACAGTTTAGTACCTATGGTAAAATGTTATCAAACTAACAGGAATTGAACAAACTATTATGGCAGTTATGGTAATATTTACAGGAATGTTTATTTTTGTTGCTTTAGGATATGAAAAGCAGCAATAAACCAAATTAAAAAATCTAAACAAGAGCAGATTTTATACTGCACTTCCAATAATATAAGCAGATAGAATTTGTATCACATTTTAATTCAGCTGCCTGTGGTTAAAGTTCATATAAACAATATAGCCAGGAAAAAAATATGAAATTCTTACCATGATGTTTCCATTTACAACACTCTATAAAGCAGTAATACCTGTTCCAAGTTCTTTTTGTATTTCTCACTGTATTACTAGAAAATATATTCCCCCATTCATGAATATGAAACAGCATTGTATTTTGGGGAAAAAAAGAACAAAAATTAAGTAGGGGAGTAAGTCTGGACCAAAGTATTTTGGTAAGCAAACAGAATGTTCTAAAATGTGGAATATGGTAAACTGAGGTTAAATCTAACTGAACCCCTTGATATGACACTGTATTATTAATATGCAATATTTATTATTAATTCTTACATGCATTAAGTCCTTTATGCTCTTTTTTAAATAGATATACAGGATGCCTACTTTTAAGAAGGAAATACAGGAAAATGTCACTTTTGTGCAGGGGTCAGAAATAAGGCTTGCTATTTAACAAGTATTGCAAATAGCCCTGCTAAATCCTAAAAAAAACCTAGCAAATCAAAGATGACAAGTTACGATATTTGGCCTGTCAACTTATCAAGGACAGAGCTTTGTGAGCTGAAAAGATGTCCAAGCTGTATCTGAAGCTGCTGAACAGTGAAGGTCAAGGTGCTTTCTGAACCATTAGTTCAGTGAAAAAAGTAAGGAATGTCCTACCATTAGTCTGGAAATCATCTGTATTTGAATGTTTCATAAGAGCATCCAGACCAAACACTGTTATTAAAAATAGTTATATTTTTAACCTTAAAGCATGTGAAATTTGCCATTCATTCTGTAGTTATGTAGAAAGCATATTATCCTTCAAAACTCTTAAATGCTATTAAATATATTTCAGTATTTGATCTGGATTAAGAATGGCTAATTGGAAATAACTAGTAAAAGTGAAACTATATCATATAATACAGTTTCCTGATAATATGGTTGACGAAAGCTATGTCAACTATTTTAAAATAGACTGGGCGAAACACTTTTTTTTTTTTTTTGTAACATTCATTAAGTTCCACATGCTTCACATGTAAAATTAAAGTTACAATTAACAATGACAGATAAATTAATTTACTTCTAAGGCTGTAAGAGAATAAATTTTTTCTTTCCCTCATATAGATCCTAAATACGTGGACACGCATGTTTTTCCCTGTACAGATAGAGTTTCATGATAAATGAGATGAAATCTATGCATGAAAAACTGTAAATTCCCTTTCCCCAAAAAAGACTATGAACTGTAAAGAATATTCATGTTGAAAACTCTGAAGTGAAATCTTTCATCATTCTTGGTTGGCAGGAAGTTTTATACAGTGGGAAAAGCATTTGCTGGAATTACACAGTAACATAGCAATTTCAATACACCAGTTGATATATACACACATGGGACAGAAACAGGCTCACCTTAGATACCCTTTAGTTTACAAACCTCTACCTTCAATCAAATACAGATTATTAAACTATAGAATTCTATACACAGCCACTCCAAAGCAATGAATGTTTTAGGGTACATTTACATAACTATAGCTCTATGAAATAAGCTGGCGTAAAGGAAGCCATTTATGGCTGAAGTCACAAAAGAGTATCAGACATACATGGACAGATGATTTTTTCTTAAATCTACAGGTTTTCTAAGAGTCTTTGTCAAAAATATTCAACAAATTTCAAGGCAGATTCTCTTTTTGGCTAAATTCTTGACAGTACTTATAACAGCAGACAAAGAGTATTTATTGCTGATTTTACCCTAAACTGATGTAAGCTTTAGAGAACCTGGGACACAAGGGGGCTTATTTTTTTTTTTCAGCATTAACTTACATGAACAGTGAAAGACTAGAAAGTTCGAGCCTATTCCCCACAGCCACTTTCTTCCAAGTCTGAATAAAGACTCAAGCCTTAATTTTTGTGTTAACCAGATGATAGCAATGATTCCTCACATGTCACAGACTGGACCGTGGACCTATTTTTATCAGTGGCGTAACAGTCACAGCACTGACAGGCCATTTAAGTGTTAGTTATTTGTTTGTATTCCACATCTCCAAAAGAACTGAAAGAGGTACGGTGAATCTTCTATTGCATGCTGGTGATGCACTCCTTTAGTTCAGTTCTATTCCTTTTAACAGAGAGCTAAGGGAAAAGTCTCAAATAACAAGACCAATCTCCATACCAAGACTGACAACTTTCATTACTACAGAGTGAAGAAAATTCTTTCTGCAGTTACAGCTTGTATAGTTAACCTCTTCCACAATTTTTAGACCGCTAGCAGATCCTTAAATTTTCTTTAGCCTGAGACAAAACAGGCAATTTGCCCATTCAACATGTGGGCAGCTGAATGACAAGGTCTACATGATATCCAGGAAAGAAAAAGAACAAGATAAACCCTTGCTGCTAATCCACTGGGAAACCATGACCCTACCTGGCCTGTTAAAATACATTACTATAAAATTCATGAAATAATAAGAAGAACAAGCTTACATTTATACACTAGATTGCTCTGCACATGATAAAATTACATCTGTGTGGACTGAACTAAAAAATTCATATTAAACCAGTGATATCAAAGGTCAAGTTAACTTATCTTTAAATTAATGAGTTTACCTACCCATACAAATAAACTGGCCTGGATCTTTATAAATCAAGGAGTTCTAGCTATGAGCTTATTAATATAAAATAAATCAAATGATCTTGAAACTATTAACTTATGCAGACCAAGCAGGTACATCACTGTTCTTCGCCTTTTCTCTATTACCACTAAGATGAGTAAGAATTTTTTGTTTGTTTCCTAATAGCATAATGAAAAAAAAAAAAAGGCATTGCATCTAGACATATCTGTTGCAACATGCAATAGCATGTTCCATATTCCTGGAATGATCAGGACACCTGTTGAAGCACACTGCAACTTCCATCTAGGCACCATACTCAGCTTCCATGCAAACAAGGGCAGAAGAGACTGTGGCGTGTGCTTCAGTCTGCCTCTTACAGATATCTCTTGTGTGCACTTCCTGAGTGGGAACTGAAGCTTCCAATGGGCAGTCTTGGCTTCTCCAGATTAGTGTAACCGGTAATGGCTAGATTCACATCACAAGTACCCATGTGCTACTTTAAAACTAAATTTCACATTCAGGTGAAGTTTTTAGCTGCCATCTACCACCACTGACATGCATATTGCAAAGGCACTGAAGCTTCCATCAGTAACTGTGACCACACCAATGAATGTGGCCAAACAGCAAAGCCCAACCTAATGTATACCCCCATCCTGTGTCGATGACTCAAGCTTCAGGCAGAAACCCATATTACCCAAGATTTTTCTCTTACTCTTACTGGATCGGGCATCATAAACACAAAGACACAGGCAACCTCTTCAGAGCTAGCCACACACTTGCAAATATCAGCAATGATATCCAATGAGTCCACCTCAAACATATTCCTAATGAAGATAAGCAGATCCAGCTGGCTTGATTTCAAGGTCAATAATTCAGATTTCTTACACATCTGTGGCCTCAAGTATACAGCCACCAGGAAATAAGATGTGATTTTTTTGTATTCTGTTATTTTACTCTGTAAAGAAGATTATATTACATTACAATGTATATGTTAATTAAGACAAGGGTGGGAAGAATGAAGGGAACGTGATACAGTAAAGAAGTCAGCTTCAAGTCTGGTGACTATTTAGATGGTTATGAAGTAATGTAACAGCATTGGCAGGCAGAAGTAAGAAATCCAAGCAACAGAGTTCAAAGATTAGGGTACTCACACTAGGCCCCTGGAGAACTATATTCTCCCATGAAGAAGACCAAGTAGTGAAAAGCAGGACTTCATATTATTTGAGACAACCAGCACCACTTAACCAAGGGCAAGTCTTGCATGACTAACTCAGTGGCCTTGCACAATGAAGTGACTGCATCAGTGGACAAGGGAAGAGCTATGGATATCATCTGGATTTCTGCAAGGCCTTTGACATGGTCCCCACAATATCTCTGAGTTGTAGAGGTTGGGATTTGATGTGTGGACTGCTTGGAAAATGCCAAATTGGTTGGACAGTCACATCCAGAGGGGTGTGGTCAACTCCTCAATGTCCAGACGGAAATCAGTGGCAAGTGGTGTCCCATTTGGGATCAATGTTATTTAATTAATTATTGACATAGATGAAGGGATTGAGTGCACCCTCAGCACATTTGCAGATGACACCAAGCTGAGTGGTGCAGTTGACACACCTGAAGGACAGGATGCCATCCAGAGGGACCTGGACAAGCTTGAAAATTTGGCTCATGGGAATCTTGTGAGGTTCAACAACCTCATGAGGTGCTGCACCTGGGTCAGGGCAATGCTCAGTTGCAAACAGGCTGGGGGTTGAAGGAATTGAGAGCAGCCCTGACAAGAAGGCTTTGAGAATACTGATGGATGAAAAGCTGGAGATAAGTCGACAGTGTGTGTTCACATCCCAGAAAACCAGTCATATCCTGGGCTACATCTAAAGAAGCATGGCTAGCAGATCATGAGAAGTGATTCTGCCCATCAGCTCTCATGGAAAACCCCCCACTCTGAGTACTGCATCCAACTCCAGGGCCCCAACACAAGAAAGATGTCAACCAGTTGGAACAGGTGCAAAGGAAGGCCACAAAAATGATCAGAGAGCTGGGGCATCTCTCTTGAGAATTAAGGTTTTCAGCCTGGAGAAGAGAAGGCTCCAGGGGGACCTTACTCCAGCCGTCTAGCCAGTGGGCCTGTAAGAAAGATGGGTACAGACTTTTTATCAGGACCTGTTGTGACAAGACAAGGGGTAATGGTTTTAAATAAAGGAAGTTAGATTTAGACTAGACTTTACAATAATGGCAATGAATCACTGGAATCGGTTGCCCAGAGAGGTGGTAGATGGCCCATCCCTGGAAACATTCAAAGCCAGGTCAGATGGGAATATCAGGAGTATGAAGACATTGTATATGAGAGACACTGTAGGGTCATTATATTTATATGGAGAAGTATCTAGCTGTACTAAAATATTAAGACCAAAAAGCTGAACTGATTTGCATACTTGAAATCACTCACTGTATTTGGGCTAAAGTGTCTATCTAAAATCATGATCCATAGCCAATACTTTTCACAACACATTCCATGTCAAAAGACAAGGAAAATTTACCATGCCTAATAGTCCCAGCACTTTGTTTATACTACATTTTTCATGGATTAGTAAGAGGCTTTAAAAAACTCTAATTGTAAAAGAAGGTTGAAAAGGAAGCAATGATCTGGGAATGGGACAGAATAGTAATATTCTTAATATAAAGCTGTCAGGAATGATCAAATTAGAACTTCATGTGTCACTACGGAAAGAGCTAACGTCCACACTCAAACCCTAAATATTCCCAATAATAATAAGCTGACAACATGAAGAAAGTATGCTTGCAGTCAGATCAAAAATATGCCCGTGGAAAACTCCTGAACTCCCTCCCCTCAGATTTGCTATACCCCATCATGAGAAGCAAGTGCTTTCTTCTAATGAACACTAAGCATATTAAAACATGAGAACTGAAAGAAATCCTCTATGTGAATCTAATGCTTACTGGCACCCTCAGACCCCAAGGAGGACTGCTCCAAGAAGACCCAGCATACTCTCTCAGCCTCTGACTCTTCTTTCAATTCTGGAATTTATTTATTACAATATTGGTCCAATGAATAAGTCATGAAATACATTCAGCATGCCTGCTCAGAAAGTTCTTCCCTACATATGCACACAAGTCAATCCTTCCCCTAACACGCTTCTTTCTCTCACCACCCTCAAATTAATTCTAGTCTACATTTTTCCATGTATCTGAAGCCATTCCTTTAGATTCAAGTAGATAGGTGAGAAATTTCAAGATGTAAATATAATAATCTCAGATCCTACCTAAATGTGTTTTGCTGGAAAAGCTTCCATGTTAGCCCAGAGGAATAAATGCTATACATATGTTGTTGAAGGAAGAAAACAAAAAAGATCGTCTAGGCAGACATTGAAGGGCAGATGCTGATTTAAACAGAACTTGTACATGGGAGGGAACAAAGGCCCAAGAAAGAACAACAACATACAAGATAGGAAAAAAAACCCAAACCTTTAGATATTACTCTCCATGAAGAAAGCAGATTTCAAATTTGTAACAGATTCACCTGCATACAAATTGTAAAAGTGGAACAAGACAACTTTTCCACACAGAGGACTCGGTCCAGCTGAACAGAGCAGAGTCACAAAAGGTTGGTAGAAGGATCTGTACCACTTTTACCGCTGCTCTGCTCCTGGGTCCATTCTTTCCCAACTCCTGCTTTCTGGTCTGTAACTTGCACTTCTTTTTTCAACAGTAACCATCCCTACAAACTCTAGTAGAGCCTCTTTCCTCTTATCAACTGGAGTTTATCTCTGGGCTTAACTCACACACCTGCTGCTGGCAGAGCTGCTCAAGCTGGCAGCTATCGGCTTGTTATTCCTCACCATCTGCCTGTAACTCCACAAACTGAAAAAGCCTCTTTCAAGTGCACACCCTCAGTTATTCACAGGAGAGGTTCAGCCTCTCCTTTTTTTCCTAGCAGTTCAATTGGACCCATATTTGATCTATTTGTGGCAATCAGGCTGATAAAAACTGCAATTTCACCATTGGCTGCTTAGCTACAAACTTCTAACAGAATGTAATGCACAGTTCACATACACTGAACTGAGAATAAACAGTGTATGTGCCACATCTTCTGTGGCTGGCCCAACTTTTACTAAGGCATCATCTCATTAGGAGGAAAAAAAAAAAAAAAAGAGACAACACACTGGAATTTTGTTTTAACATTTTTCTATATTGCTAGGGAACCTTCTGTACTCGCACCATTTTAGCACTGTAAAAACTTCCCTTCTGCAACCCACTACCTAGCAATGACAGAATAAAACCTATTTTTCTTCTTTCAGACAGAATGATTTCACAGCTATGATGTAGGCTTGCTCTCTCAGAGGGGTTAAGAATAATTCATCAGCAGAGCACTTAGCCTCACTGCCCTAAAAATATAAGGGGAAAAAGACTTTGACTTAAATTCAGGCTCTTCACAATGCATTATTATTCTCTCAGAGCCCACACATTACACTTATTATTTATTCATTATTACTGCTTATATTTTCCAAGGGTAGTAAAAGGATTATTTCCCTAGTCATGGACTTGGAAATTTCTTGGTCCTGAGTTAAAAATGAGTTCTTGAGATTCAAAGTTGTTGCGTGTGTGTGTAGTTTCCATTATCTTTCATAAGATTTCTGGAAAGGAACAACGTTACTAAGAGTTAATTTTATTTTTGAGAAAAAAAAACAACTCAATTTAAATAGCAATAAATATGTTCTCCTTGCTAATAACTGTAGGAAAATTGAAGTACTTGCTGAGGCTGAATAATTCTAGAAAACTGATGTTCCATATTTGACAAGCACATATGAAATGTCTTTAAGACAGAATTTACCACATTCTGGAGAGTTAATGTAGCGTTTAAGTGAGAACACTAGATAACGTGGAAAGTAAGAGAAAGAGGAAAACAGAGCAGTATAAGAAAATTTGCAGAAGACAGGTAACAGCTTTTAAGTTAAACAATATCTTTTTATTTCTTTTCCCTATCTTCTTAGGAAAAAGGGGGTTTTTTCACTCTATGTGAAACATATGACCCAGTTTAGGGATTAAGTTTAGGTGCGGTTAACATGAGCATTAGATTGTTAAGATCAATGTGATAACTAATCTGCTCTAATAAAGCCACATGATTTTGTTCACAAAAGTTTTGCAAACTCTGATTTATAATCTTGTTTTGTATGTTAGGAAAAGAAAAGTACAAAACAAAACTCCTAGGAACTACAATTACCTCCAAACATGAATCTTCCAAGCGCAGGAAGCAGAAAGGCTGCTCTGGAACTGCTTCAAACTTAGCTCAATCAGAAAAGAGATTTATAACAACTGTGTATAATTTCATGTGTTCATATTGTTTATTTTCTATGTGGTCATGTTATTTGCTAAAAATTTTTCAGTATTGAGATTTACACCTTTGGTCTGTGATGGGCAAGAAAAATGGAAGTACCTGTCTGGTCACTGACAGCCACAGAAGTAGTAACAGGAAGGAGGAAGATTGCCATACAAAGCCAAACTATGCAGGATCCAATGTACTTCATCTCCCCCTGGACACATGTGAACAAACAGCTACAAATCTGAAACAAAAAATAAGCATATTCAGAACAACCTCATCTTATTCTTCTCACCTTGTCAGAATACTACAAACAAAAACTTCTTAACTGTGAAGAGGAAGTTTCTAGTCATATAGAAGTATATAATGTATGTGTTTAAGGAGCTACTGGAAAAGATTTATGCCACTTTGGAAATAAATGATAAATATACTCTTTTTTAGTTCTTTATTAATAAATGCAGAAGTAACACCTTAGAAGAATTAACTTGGAGATATTAATTGTAAAGGCACTGAATGTTCATTTCATTAGTAATTACTGATTTTCTTTCATATTTCTCCCCAAATTATTTTTCAATATTCAATATATTAGCTAAACTGTTTGGTGTCACAACGCTTACAGTGACTGCTGAAGTAGTCCTCAAATGGAACAAGGGCAACATGCAATTGAGTTTTACCACAAAAGAAACCAAAATACAGTATTTCTCCACCTTGCAAAGTGCCTAGAGTAGCCTATATTGAATTTCTAGTTTAAATCTCACAAAAGTACAGGCTTCAACAATACAAACTGGTACTGTCATTAGAGGACAAAAGCTTCTTTCTAAGCCAAGTAACATGTAAAAATACACATGAATTTAATGAAACACAGAAAATATCTAATATTTTTCTAATCACATCTTCTGTAAGAAAAGGAAATCACATACCTAAGATGCAATTTTTATAATTATTTTCGCAAGGCACCTTATTTATTATCAAAGCTATTCTCTCACGTACTGACATCAACTACATCACGATTAAGTTTTCTAGCCTTCCCACCAGCAGCAGCAAAGCGAGTAGATGTTCAAATAAATTATCATTTAATTTCCTGCACCTGCTTTACAAGCAAGCATCGGGAATTCAGTAGAGCTGCCGCTCCGGAGGTCTGGTTTTCCGAAGGGCTCTGATCACCAACACCGCCACCCCTCGCTGCCGCCGCACCTCGGGGCTCGGCTCCTCTCCCGCCGGCTGCTCCGGGAGGCTCCGCTCCCTCGCACCCCCGGCGCACCGGAGCCCTCGGCAGCACAGGCTCTAACCCGGCAGCGCCGGCAGCCTCGTTTCCCTCGGATCGAGCCGCGTTTCCCGAGGGAGGGTTCAACACTCCGGGCGGGAAGGCAAGCGGGCAGCTCTCCGGCGCGGCTGGGCTGGCTCCCGGGCAGCGCCCCCGCCCCGCTGCCGGAGCCGCTCTCCGGCCCCCGCCCCGGGCTCCCTCCGCCGCGCCCGCCCCGTCTCCCCTGCCCCTGCCTGCGGCGCCGGGAGCCCGGGCAGCCCGGTGGGCGAGCGAGGGGCAGGCGCCCGCCGCCGCCTCCTCCGCAGCCCCGGGGCGGAGCGGGGCCCGGAGCCCGCCCGGGCCGGCGGCGCCTGCGAGCGGGGCAGCCCCGGAGCCGCGGGGCGCTGCGGTGGCACCTGCGCCGGGCCAGCAGGTGAGGGCGGCGATCGGGCCCATCGCGCCGGGACTCGGCCCTCGGCATCCCCGGGCTCTGCCCCAGAGCGGCGCGGTGCCCCCTCCCCGCAGGGCACGGCCCGCCCGCGCCGCTGCCCGCTCACCAGCGCTCCCTCCAGCTGCGTGCGGGCCACCCGGCACGCGGCTAATTGCAAGGTAGGTTTTTAAAAGTAAATATATGCACAATCAGCACCGTGGCAATTCGCAACAGTTTAATCAGTTTTGTAAATTACTGCTCGTTTAGCAGGGCTGTTTTTATTTGCATATCTTAGCATACACCTATCGTCACTAGCATATACAATGTATTTACACAATCGTGAGCAGAATACTATAGCACAGGCTGATTGCAGTACGTTAAAACTTACGGTATACATCATGTTTATGTAAGACATAGTTAATATTAGCAACGATAAACTTAAGTGACAATTTTGGAAATCAAAACCAAAAACCCTTGAACAAAAACACCTCAAAACAAACCAGGAATAGTGTAGCATGTGTGAGTGTGCACATGTAAGATGTTTAGATAGTTGACTACAGATAGTAAGTGGCTTACCTTTAAATTTTTTATTGGTGTGTCCCCCAGAAGCACTGAAAATGCCTGTACAGAGCTGCTGTAGTGCCGAGGAGTTGCTAGAGTGAGTCTCCAAAGAGTGGTAGAGGGGGATGCAGCTCTGTCCTTATTAGTCTCACAGCGTGACCCTCCCACTCAGTGAGCACAGAATACTCTGCAAGAAAGAACAAACAGCCACCCAGACACAGATTTTACATAATTATCTGTATGCATCCCAAGTCAGGTAACAATGTAAGAAATGTTTGGGGTTTTTTTCTCCTTCCCCCTACCTCTCTAAAAGCACCCTCTCAACAGTTCCATAAATTAGACAGCCGTGGTATGAATGCATGAATGAAAGAGTATCTAGTTTCTAGCTGTGAAGAACCAATTATGTACATTATTACACTGATAGAAACTAGCTTTTGTCTTTTAAGTGTAAGCATACTTCAATTTCATATACTTTTATATACTTCACCATAAATTTAAAAATCAGCCATGCAAGCAATGAAGAGAGTACATCTATGACACTGATGCTGTAATGCACAGTGAATTACAGAAATTTGATTTGCCTTTTAAAATCTATCGTTTACAAACCTGAATGGTCTTGCACTTGTAATATCATCTGTCTGTGATGAAATGATGAGACTGAGCACTGCCACTGGCTCTTAGCTGAATTTGCCAAACTGCACTTTTGTCAGGTTCTCCAAGTGTGCTTGTGGCAGTTTTCTGCATTGCACTTTAAAGATGTGAACCAGATAGAAGGACAGAGAGAACTAAAACAACTAGAAATAGATATACAGAAGACAGAGAGAAGGGCTTATGTATATAATTTATATATTTATTTATATCCAAGACATATTTTACCTTTTTGTAGTTGAATTATTCTGATGGGAGAAAAAAGGAGGGTGGTCATATGAAAATTCATGAGCTTAACATAAATTTAGCCAATTGGTCTTCAGATCAGAGAACATATAGGGTAAACTTTCTTCTACCCCCAGCTCCCATACCCAAAATCCTCCCACCCACTCAGCAGATTTTGTTTCCTCAGTGTTTCCTCATTTCAGTCAAGATAACTAGCCAGTATAACCAACAAATCACATGGAAAGACATGATTATCTTCCTGGTTTGAATTTCAAAACAGTTGTTGTTCTTCCCAACTTAGAATCACGAGAGAAAGATGAAATTGCAGCTTACATACACATCTGCTGGGGTGTTTTATTCCACAGCTTTGCCACAGGCTTGTGGTGTAACTTTAGGCAAGTCACACTTCTTGCTTGCTCAATCTGAAAATTACAGAAAGTAAAGCTGTCTTTCCTCTCAGGGTGAGGTGCAAGAGCCCAATCCCACAGCTGACAGATCATCGGAGCATTCTTACTTTCCTTCAGACTGTTCATTTGATAAAGGCCTCAATGTTGAGCCCTAATTCTGTGTTTCAGAGTTGTGAGATCCTCAGCTGAAAGACCCTTTGTAAAAGCTCTGGCCATAATAAAAGGCATAATCTTTTTTTTTTGGTGTTTTTTTGGTGGTTTTTTTTTTGGGTTTTTTTGTTTTGGGTTTTTTTTTTTTTTTTTAATTAATTTGATAAGAACTGTATTTCTCATTGCTCTTTCAAGCTACAAAATTCTATTTTTTTAATTCATTTTACACATCCTAAATACCTGGATTCATCTACTTTACATGAATATAAACAGTCTCATTAATTTCAATCAAATATAAGCCCTGAATTAGCTAAGCATTTTAATTGCTTAAGAGTTTGCACATACAATCATTTTATCCTTTAAAGAAATATTTCTGCCTCTTAAAATTTCAGTAATGCTTTATGGTCCAGACCCAAATACGGTCTTCATTTCCCATGAAGCAAGGATGTTGCTTCTCTTGTAAAATACTGATGCTACAAATAGAAAACTAAATACCTTTTTTGGACCATGTCAACATTAAAAACCACTTCACATCTGCATGAAAGCAGTAAGTAGAATAATTAGAAACTGCTATAACCTTCTCTAACACATACACTTCCTGTACTCTGGGCCAGATCTTCAACTAAACAGGATTATTCCAGTTCACATAAATCAAAGGAATTACAGGGATTTATACTAGTTGAGGAGCACCACATTAGGGACTGCCATCATAATATTTATGGACAACACTGTTCACATTATTAAAAACAGTTTGAATGACTAGTGACATGAAAATTGGGAAAAAGAAAAACCTTACTGTTTAAAAACGTCTGTCATGACCTCCAGAAAATGGTTTCTCTCTGCCTCCCATAATATATGAAGCAAAGCCATAACTGGTTACACATCTGTTGTTCCCAGTAAGAGCTTAGAAATCCCAAACACTTCCTCACCTGCTGTTACTGGTGCACTCCAGAGAAAACATTTATACATTGTCTTATCTGCTTTAAATCTGGGAAGTACTGGAAAAACGGATAAACTGAAGCAGCAGCAGCCAATCTTGTCTTTGCAGCAACACATTTTTCCAGCTATCTCAGAGTTTAGCTAAAGCACACAGAAGACAGAATTAGACCTGGATCCAGGAAAGAGTCAAGGAAAATACACCAAGAAGCAGAAAGTAGAGAAATTTAGGTTTGAAGCCATACTTAGCACAGACATGCAGAGAAAGTTCCATCTCCTGTGCCAAGGCAAAACCACTCCACTGAACAGCTTTTACTACAACCGCAGTTGCAGGCAATATGCAGAGGGAAAAGGTGAGAGAATCGGGGGCTAAAGCAGTGACTTTTTTTTTGTAGAAAACTTTTATTTCTAACACTCACTTTCACCCTTTGTTTCTTTTTTTGTCATGATTAGATACCCAAACCAGCCAAGTTGCGTAATTCGCTCTCTGTGCGGTGTTAACAGATTTGTCTCCATCTTGTCAGACCCACATTTTAAACTGTTGCTTACAACAACACATATGCAGGAATGAAGCTGTAAACTTGGACAAAAGTCTTCAAAAGCAGCAGTATCCTCCTTGAAACAAGTTTTGTAAAAGGAGATTAATTTGAAACGCCCCTTACCAGCGTTTCTCGCTGAATGTAGCGCTCAGTGTTTCTGTTCTGTTGAGTAAGCCCTTATGTGGCATTGTTCCTTGCCAGATGATCCTTTCTGCCCTCTGCAAGATTTCCCGGTCACGACAACTGCATTCCACTGAAGCAATTAAAATATAAATGCTTTTAAATACATGAGACTGAACTATGGTGAACTTAGACGAAACAGGTGGAATCCCAGCCCTGGGGAAGTTAATGGAAATTTTAACATTGATGTAAATGGAGCAAAAATGTCACTCAAATGAGGGCACTTTGGCAAAAACTACGTAAAAAGGGAATTATTTATATGCATGTGCACACATACTAAGCGCTCCTAAGCAGCAAAGCCAACAGAAAAGCTGGATGTCACTTCGTTTCTGCTATTGGAGACAAAAAGGAAAAAACCCAACTGCTACTTCTTCTACTGCATACTTAAGCAGCTCTCAGATTTTTCAGTAGATGGGCTGAGAAATAATTCAAAAAAATACAGACAGAACAAATTATAGTTTTGTGGTATTTGTTGTCTTAGGCATTTTCTCTACTCTTTGACACTTTACAACGTGCCCTAAAATAACCAATTGGTAGTAAATATAATGGTACAGCAACCAAAAAAAAGAAAAAAAAAAGAAAGGTCCATCCTTTATCTTGGATTCCAATGCTACTGATAAACCCAATCTCAAAAAAAAAATCATTCACAATGTTTAGTGTTATCTGGTCCTAATATGTTTCATATTTTTAATAGTGGCATTTCAATTAAAAATATATACCTTTCAAAGTAAATAAATCAATGTCATGATATATTGTTTATATTTACCAGTTGCAAACATGCCAAAAGCTGTATCATATGCTTTGAACAGTATTCATAATTATTCCAGAAAAATACATTTCTCAGAATATACTGAGAAATGTGATATATACTACTCTTTAAAGTGTTCAAAGATTCAAAAGCAAAGTTATTCAAATCTGAAATACTTCTGGATTTGTAGAATTCAGTAAAACATCATTCCAGGCTTAGAGAAACAATGCTAAGATTAATAGCATTAAAATGTTCCTTATCTTGTGAAAGGCACACTTTCCTTTTTCTTCCTGTGGATATACACACACACACACACACATGTAGCCATACCCTAAACAGCTTGCAACAAGTTCTATTGTTTCATGAACCAAAGACACACAATGAAAAAAAATTAAA